GTCATAACCAGTGGATGAATTATTGTAAGCCAATCTGTCAGTAAACATTTATTAAGTGCCTATTATGTGCCAGGCACTGTGCTAAGTGGGGGAACACAAAGAAAGAGAAAAAGTCCTTGCTCTCAGGAGCTCCCGATTGAACAGGGCAGACGACATGCAGACAACCATGTACATACAAGGTATAACAGTCTAAGCTGGGAATATTCAAGACAGGGAAGGTATCAGAATAAAGAGGGATAGCTAGGACTGCCTTCAATCTATATTGGGTTAAACACGCTGCTCAATACTTCTGCCCTTGCTGGCAATCTCTCTGATGGTTCACCATTCTGATCTTTTCAAGCTCATGGGCTTATAATTATCTCTTCCTTCACCCCAAAGAAGGAAGGATGGACACACCAGCGACCGAAGCAACATCAGGGTTGAGCCCTGGCCCTATGGCAATGGCACCAGTGGAGAGATAAAGGCCTGAGTCCTCTCTTTCCGACATCTTAATTTTGCCTCATCCCTTAAGCACAGCTAAGTAGGAATGAGGACCACCTTTGCTTTGGTTGGTTAATACCTTTTGAATGAACCCCAGTTCTGGCTCTGTGGTCGATCAACAACATGTCTATCACATGGCAATAGACTGGAATCAGTTAAGAATGTCTAAGCAAGCTCTAAATGAGGGAGCAGGCTCTTCCATTACATGCTTTTCTGGAAGAAGGCTCCTCAGTCTCTTCTCTGTGGGAACATACTGGGTATGCTCACTAGCCCCTTATTACACTTCATTCATTCATTCATTCACTCATTCAAACAGTTGGGCAACAGACATCTTTAAATGCTTACTATGTGTCAGACATTGTGCTAAGCCCTGAGGGTACAAAAGCAAGAAAAAACAGTCCTTGTCCTTATGGAGCTTACATTCTAATGATGGCGACAACTAGATACCAACACGATGTATACAATGCCCTGCAGCTCCAGTCATTCCATAGTCTTCAAAAAGATCTATTTTAACATTTGTGCCTCACACAATTGTGTTTCTTTGTACTAGAATTTTTATCAGTTTTTAATAAATAAAAGTTCTTTCTCTGCCTCTTTGACATCAAATTGTTCACATATGAAAGAAGCATCACTTTATATCCTTTACAAGGTGATTAAAGCCTTTATATTCAATGGCACGGTTCATTTTCTCACTCTTTTGCAATGTAACTGCACATTGAAAACTGTGAAAATTGTTTTTTTTTCTGAAAATTGTGCTTTTTTATACACTGATTTTAGTGGTTTTTATTGAACCAAAATAGCTTTTCTACTCCTTTCTGGCACCAAACTCTTTGTCTATTAAATGAATAATAGCTTACATCCTTCATCAGTTGTTTTATTTCTTTTTCTTTTCTTTTTTTGCAATTGGGGTTGAGTGACTTGCCCAGGGTCACACAGCTAGCAAGTGTCAAGTGTTTGGTCTGAGGCCAGATTTGAACTCAGATCCTCCTGACTTCAGGGCTGGTGCTCTATCTACTGCACCACCTAGCTGCCTCAGTTGTTCCATTTCTTGGTAATTACACAAAAATACTGTTTCTTGCTCTTTCAGCACCAAACTGCTCCATAGGAAAGACGATACCTTCAAGGGACAATATTTTACACACTCAGAGGAATGGACACTAGCTGCTTCAGGGGACTGAATGAAAAAAAAATCTCTTATAGAAACAAAGCTAAGAAGGACAGGTGAAGAGGAAGAACGTTTAGTTATGGTGAACTAGTACAAAGACATGGGAATGTGATGTGCGTGAGGAACAGAAAGTAGGCTTGTTGAATTATAGGGTGCATGGAGGGAAGTAAAGTATATGAAGAATGCAAGGATCGGAAGTGACCAGGTTGTGAATTTTACTATATATTTGATCCTGAGTGTAAGAAGGAACCACTGCACCCTGGTTCAAATCCAAACTCTGTTATTTACACCTGTGTAGTATTGGGCAAATTACTTGGTCTTTCTGGGTCTCAGGTTCCTCATCTGTAAAATGAAGTAATTAGCCCAGATGACCTTTGAGGACCCTTTTATGGTCACGTGATGCTAGTCTGAAGCCTGTGCTAATCTATACAATCTGCTTTGTGTGCTGCCTCCCAGGATTGCTGTGGGAGTGAGTGGGGACAACATACATCTTCTGCAAACTAGACTCTTCAAAATGTGCATAATAGAAGCTGTAACGGGTGGGGTGGGACCTTGTGGGAGGTGATGCTTAGAGCTCTGAGGCCATATAGCTCCATTCTTACTCTTGGTCTTCTTCTCATCCCCTCCTTTCCTGAAGCCATTTGTTTCTAAGAGGGCATGTCAAATCCCTGTTCTTTCTTGCTCCACTATTACTTCTTCAAAGCCCCCATTTTTCAAGAGCACTCCCATTTCTCTTTGCAGCGTTTCTCTCCTCTGAGTAGCTCTAGAAACTTGCTGGCTAGTCCTTAAGATTCTTCAGTCGCTTGGGACCCCTTAATCCTGGCTTGCTCATCTCCCTTGTGACCAGAGCTCCAATGCTCTCATTACTCTCATTTCTAATGTGGAAACCTCTGGGATACTCTAGTCTGACTGGGAGCAAGGAGGAAGAGATGCTTTTTTCTCAGCTCTCTCCTTTTGGACAAAGAATTTTCCCTTGCAATGACCCAATCATTATGAATCCAAGCTGTGAAAACCAATTTCACTCCAGGGCTCCTGCTATAGGGAATGTGTGCATGCCTGTGTCCCACAGCCCAAGATAGAGGTATCTGAAGGAATCTCCCAGGTCTGAACCAAGTTCCTACGACTCCTCTCCTCTGGTGTCCAGTGTAGGAAATACTAACTCCACACTGATCCCAGAAGAAGTTCATTTCTCTTGCTCCATTTTCAATTAGGTATCTTTAATCTCCCTGTCAATACTGCTGCAAATCCATGTCTCATGTTCTGTTCACTCTATGAATGTGGAGATTTCTATCACACCTCAGAGTCATTCTTATTCCAGAAATTCAGCCAGTTGAGTGGGGACCCTTAAAATGGTTTATTATTTTAATATGATAAAATATTAGCATTAATATTATAAAAAAGTCAACAGTGATCACAAACTCAACTTGCTTGGTCAGGGACAGTTTTTAATTGGCCACTACAATACACTAATATTACTAGTTTATTTTAGATGACATTTTATAGCTTGCAACACAGTTTTTAGTCTATAAATTCCTTGAGGCAGGGTCCATGATTTTGTCTTTCTTTGTATCACCATTGCTCAGCACAATCCTTGGCATGTAGTACGTGCTTAATACATGCCTACTAATTTAACGTGTATTATTTCCGAGGCGGTTGGTGGCACAGTGGATAGAGTGCTAGACAAGAAATTAGGAACACCTGAGTTCAAATACAGCCTTAGACACTTACTAGTTGTATGACCTTGGACAAGTCACTTAACTTCTCTTTGCTGGTTTCCTAATCTGTAAAATGAGATCTCTAAAATCCCTCTCAGCTCTAAATCTCTGATCTCAAGATCCTTAAGGAGGCATCCTTGATTGGTGGAGTCAAGAAGTAGAGTTGGAATCAGGAAGACCTGAGTTTTAATCCTTTCTCAAGCATTTACCATAATAATGGCTAACATTTATATAGCATTTACCATGTGCCAGGCACTGTGCTAAACACATTACAATTATTATCTTATTTGATCCTCACAACAACCCTGGGAGGTAGGGGCTACTATTATCTTCATTTTATGACAGGGAAATGGAGGCAAGCAGAGATTAAGTGACTTGCCCAGGGTCACACAGTGTCTGAGTGACTGAGGCTAGATTTGAACTTGGCTCTAGGCTTAGTACTCTATCCACTGAGGCATGTAGCTGATTTACTGAGCAAGTCATTTAACCTCTCTCAGACTCAGTTTCCTCATTTATAATATGTGGATAGTAATTATACCTACCTCACAAGGCTGTTGTAGGAATGAAATGAAGTAATATTTAAAGTGATATCACTTTAAATTGAGCTATTATTAGGATTTAAGATTCACAAGCTTTTTATATATATATTTTTTTCATTTTCAATATGATGAAGTAGGTGCTACAAGGATTCTGCTCTCAGTCTTAGTTTCCTTACCCGAAGAATAGGTTAAATATTAGCATTCCTCCCCTGCCTCCAGCCCAGGTTGTTTTGAGGGTCAAATATTGCAAACCTAAAGTCATAGAAAAATATCAGCTGTTATTATCATTGCTACTTCCTACCAGTGTGACCTTGATCAAGTTCCTTGGGCCTTCTTGGCTCTCAGGACCAATGGTTCTCCATCTATATAATAAGGGGGTTGGATTGGATAACTTCTGGGGTCCCTGACAACTCTGATGATCCCATGATCCATTTCACAGAAGAAACTGAGGCTCACAGAAGTCAAGATTTGTCCAGGGTCACAGAATTAGCATCAGAGGTGGAATTATGGGATGGCCTTGGAGACATGAGAATCAGTTGCATCTTATTGCATTGTCCATGTGTGTACACATATTCACCTGATTCTATGGCACTAGGGAGGGAGTGAGTAGGACCCAGAATGGAAGAAGAGGAAAAAAAGATTGTAGCTAATGAGGCTTGGGTCACAAAAGTCATAATAATGGCTGGGGGCAGCACCAGGGAAGGCTGAGGTCCTGCTGAAAAGTTGTGAATGCAAAGGGCTGCTTTCCATTGACAAGGTATCTTCGTAGGCATTGTTTCCATGGTGTCCTTCTAATATTGGGTGGGGCTGGAAGACCTGTGAAAGTTTGCCTCCTAAGTGCAGAGGTGAAATGAATGCAATTGTCAAAAATGTAGTCTCAAGCAAAACATCATTCACTCTGAATCATCTCCTTTGTTACAGGATTAAAAAAACACCCCAAAAAGCCACTATCCACCCAGAAACACAGAAAGGCAACTGAGCTTTAAGGAAACAGGAGTGTCATTGGCATGCACCTTGAGGGTGGGGAAGGGAGGAGGGGCCACTTCCACAGAAGGTGTATAAAAGGGGCCTTGTTTTAGGGAAGAGTCACATACTCTTGATTCTAGCTCAATCTAAACAAAAGCCTGACCTAGGTTCTCTAGCTGCTATAGCCATGAGTTGCCGTCTTCAGACCTCATCTTCCACTTATGGAAGTGGTTTTGGTGGTGGCTCTTGCCAGTTGGGAGGAGGTCGGGGTATGTCTAGCTGCTCAACTAGGTTTGTATCCTCTGGGTCAATGGGGGGCTATGGTGGTGGAATGAGCTGTGGCTTTGGTGGAGGAGCTGGTAGTGGTTTTGGTGGGGGCTTTGGTGGTGGTGCTGGAGGTGGATATGGAGGAGGCTTCGGAGGAAGCTTTGGAGGTGCTTTTGGTGGTGGCTTTGACTTGGGTGGTGGAGATGGTGGGCTCTTGACTGGCAATGAGAAGATTACCATGCAGAACCTCAATGACCGCCTGGCCTCCTACCTGGACAAAGTACGGGCTCTAGAGGAGGCCAATGCTGACCTGGAGGTCAAGATCCGGGACTGGCATCTAAAGCAAAGCCCTACAAGCCCCGAGCGGGATTACAGCCCCTATTTCAAGACCATTGATGACCTCCGGGAGAAGGTAAGACTTTGGCATATAGAGGAGACAGAATAGATAATTCTCTCCGTGGCAAAGTCTTCAAGGTCAAAGGTCACAGAATCTCAGGGAATGATGACAGCTTTACTGGGGATAGAATCTCACCCTCGCTTCAGGGGATGTTCTAATGATTTGCCTTGTGGTCTCTGCTCCTAATGGGGCTGTTTATGGCATGCATTTTATCCTACAGTTAATTTTTACTACAGCTATTACTCAAGTGGAAAGCTTTACTGCTTCATAAACATACAGTTTCTAAGGGACGCTATCCCTGTAATCCAAGCCTCCTGGCTTCTTTAGAAACCAATAACAGTTTTGAGAGTTCAGAGGAATGTATGCCAGGTCATTGGTCAAGGAACAGCTGGACAGTTTCCTGCTGTCCTGTTTACTTTTTCATGATCAATTGTGACCAAAAGAAAGGGGAAGCATTGACAAAGAGAAGCCGACCTCTTTGGAATCTCCCTCTTGTGACCGGCTTGTCACGTTCGTGATAGCATGCTGAGACAAGAGCAAAGCCCTAGCTTAGGGTGGGGTAGGGTTGAGTCCTCAGTATTTCTGGAATCCAGATGAGAATACAGAAATCCTAAACAGGGGCTGTTGTTATACATCTCTGTGATGCCAATTTAACCTCATTGGGCCTCAGTTTCTTTCAGTTTGAGGGGATTGGACTAGGTAATAAATAGCCATTTATTTAGCATCTTGAGGCTTGCAAAGTGCTTTACATCCATCACTTTTTTTAATCCTTAGGACAGCCTTATGAGGTAGGTGCTATTTATTTCACCCCCATTTTACAGAGGAGGAAACAGACAGAGAGAGGTTTAAGTGATTTGTCCAAGATTACACAGCTAGTAAATGTCTGAGGTAGGATTTGAACCCAGGTTTTCCTGACTCCAGTTGCTAGTGTGCTATCTACTCTAGTATGCTGTCTTTCCTTGGGTGATTTCTAAGGTTCTTTCCAGCTCCAAACCCAATATTCCTAGGAACCTCAGGGGTCTGGCTCTACTTGATACATTTGTAAAGATGCAGGGGTGGGCTAAGCTGTTTCTCAGCATTCTAGAGAGTAGGACCACAGACCATCAAAGAGAGCAATCCTCCCACCCTGAGGAATGTTACATGATTGATGACAAGAGGGAGTGTTTGTTTGGAGAAAAGGAGATAGTACCCAGGCACCGTTCTCTGCCCTCCTGTCGTCCTAGCTGAGATAGGAATGTCTTCTTTAAAATGAATGTGCAGGGTCTTTTTCAGGCCTCTTTTTTTCATCCTCCACTGACATTTAGGATTATAGAGCCATGAAATGCCAGAGATTGAAGAGACCTTTGAGATCAAAGAGTCCATCCTCACTCATTTTATAAAGAAGGAAACCGAGGCTCAGGACAGGGAAGTGACTTGCTTAAGGTCATTCAGCTAGGTAGTGCCCAAGTTCTCGTATACAGCCAGAAGGACTGGAGATCACTGTCTCCTATCTCCCACAGATCAGGACAGCCAATATTGACAACTCCCGGGTCATTCTGGAGATTGACAATGCCAGGTTGGCTGCTGATGACTTCAGGCTCAAGTAAGTTTCTTCTGTCTCTGTCTCTCCATTTCCCTGCCCCTCCTCGTCCTTTCTTTTTGCTCTCTCTCTCTTTCCCTCCTCTCTGCTTCTCTGTCTCTCCATTTCCTCTTTCTCTATTTCTCTCTATTTTCTTCTCTTTCTCTTTTTCTTTCCTCTCTGTTTTTCCTTCTCTGCCTCTCCATTTCCTTTCTCTCTCTCTCTCTCTTTGTCTTCCTCTCTCTCTCTCTCTGTGTCTTTCTCTCTGTTTCTCTCTGTGTCTTTCTCTCTGTTTCTCTCTGTGTCTTTCTCTCTGTTTCTCTCTGTCTCTCTCCCTACTTTTTTAACTATCTCTTATTTCAGGCAGATTCCCATCTGCAAACTGGAAAGGTAGAGCTTTGAGAAATACTGAGTAAGAAGCTCCCAGAGAAAGAGCCGAGCTCAGGGAGGGTGTAATTTCATTCGCAGGGTTATTTAAATTTTGGGTTTTCTCACCCTCTAGGTATGAGAATGAACTGGGCCTGCGCCAGAGTGTGGAGGCTGATATCAATGGCCTGCGCAGAGTGCTGGATGAGCTGACCCTCTCCAAGGCTGACCTGGAGATGCAGATTGAGAGCTTGAATGAGGAGCTGGCCTTCCTCAAGAAGAACCATGAAGAGGTGAGGGACTGGGTGGGAGGCAACAGCTGACGGACTACACTGGAGCCCATTGGCTTAGTGGGCAGACAGAATGGCACCCCCCTGGAGCTTGGGCACCCCTGCCAAAACTTCAGTATGAGATTCAGTTACAATGGGAACTAAGAAGGGAAAGTGTGAACTTTGATTTTTCTTGTCTCTATAGGAAATGAAGGAATATAGCAACCAGGTGGTGGGCCAGGTCAACGTGGAGATGGACGCTACCCCTGGCATTGACCTGACCCGTACACTGGCTGAAATGAGAGAGCAGTATGAGGCCTTGGCAGAGAAGAACCGCAGGGACGCCGAGGCCTGGTTCCAACAGAAGGTATTCTCATCCCTTTAGTCTGTAGATCCTGGTTCTTCTCAGTCTGAGGATGTAGCATCTTGCTCTGCTCTTAGAGTCAGGATCTTCATTCAGATCCTTCATCTTCGATTCCTCTCCCTTCCCCCAGAGTGAAGAGCTGAACAGGGAGGTCACTTCTAACACTGAAATGATCCAGACCAGCAAGACCGAGATCACAGAACTGAGACGCACGCTCCAGGGGCTGGAGATTGAGCTGCAGTCTCAGTACAGCATGGTATGTGGGCAATCCTCTCCTGGGTGACTCCCTACCTCCTGGACTTGGCAATGGGCTTCCACCTATCCTGAACCCATTCTCCATTTCCTCAACAGAAAGCTGGGCTGGAGTCTACTTTGGCAGACACAGAATGTCGCTACGCTGTGCACTTGCAACAAATCCAGGGGCTAATCAGCAGCATTGAGGCCCAGCTGAGCGATCTCCGTAGTGAGATGGAATGCCAGAACCAAGAATACAAGATGCTGCTGGACATCAAGACACGGCTAGAGCAGGAGATTGCCACATACCGCAGCCTGCTGGAGGGCCAGGACTCCAAGTAAGTACAGGGTCCCATACCTCACACTCTGGGGTGTTTTCACAGATATTATCACGCAAAGGCCTAGTTCTATAACGGATAGGGTACCGGATTTAGAGTCAGGAAGACCTGAGTTCAAATCATTTGCTGAATTCGGGGAAGCTTAATTAACAGGAATTCATGATATTCTGTAAGTCACTTTCACAGGTTCTAGGCGTGAGGTCCAGGCAGGGGATGCCCACTGAGGTTACCAAAAGAGACTGTCTGGAACATTGAGGAAAGCATTAGGGCATTGGACACGTGATTTCCAAGCCCTTCTCCAACTCTTAACAATCCACGACTTTCAGCATTTCCTGCAAATAATTCCCTGTCCCTACAGTCAAACTTTTCTCCTGAAGGAGCTCTTCAGACAGGAGTCAAAACCTAGCAATGACAGATGAGGCTCCTTTACAGTCTAAGGGGCAGCTGAGCTAATAAGCAAAATCCAGGGGTTTTCAGACTTGACTGATTTAGCTTCTTGGGAGACTGGGAAAGGAAGATACATTTTGTTTTCCGCCCTGTTTTCTGAGCTGCAGTTTATTCCTATCTTTCTTCTCTTTCTTATAGGATGACTGGCTTCCCCGCTTCTGGAACAAGTAAGAGAATCCAGCACTCAGTCCTGGGTGTGGTTAGGTGGGGTAGTGTTGGGTTACAGAGTCAATTACCTTAAGGGCAAGAAGACAGCTCTGAATTCTCAAACACTCCAGGTGCTGGGATACCCCAGCTATAAAGGCTGTCATATTCATGGTCAAATGGCACTCTCCTTGTTGGAGCCTCCCAAATGATCTCTGAGACAGCCTGGGATATTTCTTCTTTGGTGTAGAAAGACATAGTTTTTGTTTGTTGTATTATCCAGTTAGTTAAGGTGCCCCAGTGGACTATCCCTGTAGAACTGTTCCATGATCTGGGTGGGAAAAGATGAGTTTCTTGAATGAAACTTTCTCTTTCTCTTCCCAGTCTCTGTCAGCAGCAGCAGCAGCAGCACTAACATTTCTTCTGGGAGCCGCCGGGTTTCCGACACCAGAAAGCCATAAATCTGCCCAGACTTTGGCCCCCTCCTCTCTCCCACAGTCACCACACATGAGAAGTCAAGAGGAATGAAACATCCTAAGTTTCTGACCAGCAAGCACCTGCTCTGCCCACCCAGCTCCCTCCACTCTCTGTCCCTGGTCACTCACCCGAGGAGGGCTAAAGATGAAGGCTCTAGTCAGCTGCTTCTCCCACCTCATTGTGGTTGTGTGATTGTCATTGTGATGTTCCTTTTCAGGAAAGGGGAGGGCATTCTTCCATCTCTCTCTCTCTCTCTCTCTCTCTCTCTCTCTCTCTTTCTCTCTTTCTCTCTTTCCCTCTCTCTCATGTCTCATGAAATGAAATAATTCAATAAAGTTTTCCCGCTGTTTCTGCAAACGTATTTTTGATATCGATCTGGTTTCTAGAGTCTGAATTGCCCCAAGCACTTATTAGATGCTCATTCTTCTGGCATGGCACTGGGTCCTTAGCCTGTTCAAGCAGATCCTGGGGATTATGATTCCACTTCATTTACTTCCTTTCATTGAACTTAAGCAAATGATTTCCATTCTTTGGGCCTCGATTTCTTTCTCCATAAGATGATGGGGTAAGATTAAATGATCTCTGAGGTCCTTGCCAGGACTAAATCCTCTGACCCCATGGGATGGGTTTCTATTCTTGAACCCAGGACAAGCAAAGTCAATCTCAACTTTGTCCCTCCAGTGGCCTTGGTGGGTTTTTATTGCTTCACAATTGGCACTCAGAGCTTAGAACAGTTTCTGGTCCCTGTTCTCTAGGCAAGTGACAAGGAATCTGTCTATAAATGGAGACTAGAATGGCTGTCACTACAGCAGAGCATGCCAGTATTGGTTAGTGAGGAAGGACCCCTTCCCATTCCCCTCCCCCCCCCAAGATGGACCGTCCTTTGAGTGACCCTAGAGTGTCCAAGTCACCATTGTGGGATGGGCCAGAGGTACACCCTTTCAACACCAGGGCAAGGCAGTATCCTTCCTTCCATGAGCTACTTTGCAATAATCAGGGTGTGGTCAGGAATCTCATGTGTGCTTGCTATGAAATGCAATTCTACATGAGAGTCAAGGGGCATGGGCCCAAAGGAGGCTCCCATTCCATCTTGGAGAACAGACAGGGAGAAGGAAACACTTGGGAGTAGCCAAGGCTTCACTCCATCAACTGGGAGCCCATAGGACAGGAGGTGGGATCTCCAGAGATGTCTCTGTCAATAAGCAGCCTCTCCTGCCAGTTTCACTCACCAGGTTCACCATAAATAATCAAGTTCCTTTCTGGCCAGGTGCTCAGACAGCTAGAGTGAACAGACTGAATTTCAGGCTAGTTTGGCTTTTTAGGTTTTCTCTTCATCAGCCCCAGGCTTCCTTGTAGTCTTTTGAGGATAGGAGTGATGGGTCCATTACTTGGATTCTCCAGAGAAAGGTCCAAATAGACTCTGCCATTCCCATAAATCCTCTCTCCTCTCCTTCCTTATTTCCTTCCTTTGCCAGTACAGATGAACAGTCAGTTCATTTTTTAGCAGTGCTGCTCATAGGTATTAGGACACCAGTATCGTCCTGAGAATTAATACAAGAGACCCCCTATAGAAAGTACCAAGGAAGACTAAGAGAAGAAAGACTCTGGGATTCCAGATAAGATGAGGAAGGAGACATATTACACCGTTAGCTCCTTCAGATCAGGGACTGTGTTTGCTTTTCTTTGTCTTCCCAGCATTTAGTACAGTGCCTGGCACGCAGTAGAAATCCTGTCTTGATATCCTCTGACAGGTACCTACAGGAGCATACAGCTGGAAGGGACCTTAGAAACCCCTCATTTTATGGAGAATCGTGTTCTTGATCCCAAAGAAGTAAAAGGACTTTCCCAAGGTAGCATGGCTAGGAAGCAACAGAAATGGGATTATAACTGACTCCCAGTTTTAGAATTCTTTCCAGTACGTCCACATTGCTTTTTTTATGCCTACATTTATTTAAACCACCTCCCCCCCCAAAAAAAGAAGAAATACAGTCCAGGGGCAGAAGGAATGATACACCGGTCCCAGCCCTAAATGTTTCGTTTTGCTGCACAGTCAGGGTGGTGTGGTGCACAGGCCAAATGTTTGAGGCTCTTTAGAAGGTAAGGAATCATTAGAGGAGTTTGTCCTAGGGAAATGTGGGCTATGAGCCACAAGGGAATAGAAATATATTAAGTCAAGGTGTCCTAATACCTATGGGGCCGCTAGGTGGCGCCATAGCGCACAGAGCACCAGTGTCAGGAAGACTCCCCTTTCTGAGTTCAAATCTGAACTCAGACATTTACTAGCTGTGTGACTCTGGGCAAGTCACTTACCCCTGTTTGCCTCGATTTCCTCATCAGTAAGATTAGCTGGAGAAGGAAATGGCAAACCACTTCAGTATCTCTACCAAGAAAACCCCAAATGGGGTCACAAAGAGTCAGATACAACTGAACAACAACAACAAGGTGTCCAGGGGGCTGGAAAAGAAGTGAGGCTACTTGACTCCTGCCTTATTCCTGTCTTCCTTACTCCAATATACCAATGGATCTGTGATTTCATCAACGTAGACACTCCTTCTAGGAGGCAGATTCCACCCCACTCATGCCTGCCCATCTTGGGTGACTCTTCTACATGGCCTCCCATAAGTTCTCCATAAACTTGCTCTGAGTAAAGTACAGTCTCCTCCCTAGGGCCCCACCTTGGACCAGAGACTACACCCCTTCCTTGGCCCTCCCTCCACATTTCAAGACTGCACAGGCCAGCTGTAGTCCTGCAGGGACCAGCTGAGAAACAAATCTTTAGCTGCAGGACATGCTGAGGGTGAGGAGGGAAGGACTGGGCTCCTCAGTCCTGATTTCTCCAGACCCCATTCCTATTCTCTTGTCTTGTCTTAGATGGGCAGGCCTGGAGAGTAATAGCTGAATGGGATTGATTCCTTCTTCCTGGAGTTCTCTGGGCCCAGTGGTCCCAGCATCTAAGAAATCCCTGAAATGCTTGGAGGGATCATGGAAGAAGGTGCTGTCCTAGGGCACATAGTGAGGGTGCCAGGGCGCCCCTTTCCCACCAATATATTTCTATCTAGGTGAAGTCTGGTAATAACAAACACCAAGATGTAGCTAGTATTTATATACCACTTGAAGGTTTGTAAAGCACTTACCATGTAATCTCAGTTGCTATTCTTATTTTACAGAGAAGGAGAATGAGGCAGACAGAGCTTAAGTGAATTGCACAGGATCACACAGCCAGTAAATATCCGACAAAAGATTTGGACTCAGGTCTTCCTGACTCCAGGGCCAACACTTTACCCACTATTTCATCTAAGAGAAAGTGCTCTGGATTTGGCCTCAGATCATATAGGTTGGAATCCTGGATCTGCTACCCATGTGACATTGGCAAGAAATTTCTCCTCTTTGGTTCTCATTTTCCTCATTTGTAAAATGAAGGGATGGACTAGATAATCTATAGTCTTTTCTGGTGGTAAATGTTATAATCCTGTATACACCCGATGGACCCTTTAAGGGGAAAAGTAGTAGTCACCGATGAATGCCATGTGTCCTCAGAGGGGAGGGTTGAATAAAGGACAGATGGGACCAGGGAAGGACCAAATCTGAAGGTTCTTTCTTAAAATACCCTAGCAGTAGCAGTCCCATGGCAAGTTCCTTCAAGTTTCAGCCTTTATATTTGTCCTCAGTCTTCTGTGTGTCGTCTTCTTATGCCTCATTTTATCTGCCTTCTGTGTGTGTGTCTTTTCTGCTTGATAAAGGCATTTGTGAAGTCTCCTTGAAAGCTATGAAAACTAAGTCTCTTTCTGATTGAACTTCTTTCCATCTTGAAAAACAATAATGCTTACATTTGTTTTTGAGCTAAAATTTATCCAATGTCATCTATGTCTATTTTCATTCTGCATGCTTCACACATTTACACTCTTACTTTCTTCTTCTTTTTTTTTTTTTGAACTTTAGGCATCACCAAGACTAAGGTTTTATAGAGGCTCAGCCAGATCCAGACTCTTGTACATTTCTGAATACAGTTCTCTGAGTGGCAAACAATACATGGAAGTGCCATTTGGACCAGCCACCTTCCAAGCCAGTATATGCTGATGCCCAAGTCCCACTTGTAAGGCACTACACAACAATATTCACTCTAAACACAAAGGAATGCAAATTTTTAATGCATTGTTGACCATGTACAATTACCCTATAATAAACTCATACTATTTGTGCAAATTTCTCGAGCCAAAGGTTATTCCTTTAGAACCTCTCCTCAATTTCTTGATTCCTGAGTCTCAGCTATTACAGTGATTAATTGAATTGTCCTGAGTTTGTACTGAGGGGATCCACACCCCCCAAATTCCCCACATTCAAGGTTTTTAAGGCAAACAGGTATGTGGTTTCCTATTGGTCTGCAAAGATGACAAACTTTGCTCATCACAGTGGCAAATTTGGCTTGTCCAACGCATCTCCTCTCAATTTACAGTCCCATTGCTAAGATGCTTCAATAACTTCCCTGCTTTTCTAACATTACCCTCCCTCCTCCAAATGAACTACAAAGTAGCTGAAAGTTATTGCAGAGCAAGAGGGCTAAAGAAATTAAGTTAATAGTTATTTCCCAGAATGCGTGGTAGCTTCTGACACAAAAATTTTCTGGACTAAAAAACAAAGAGCCTCTGTCTGTTGTCAAATGTTCATTTATTGCAATAAGTCTCCTTTGTAGCTTTTAACTTGCTGGGCATTCCACAGCACCACTATCAATCAATATCAATGGCCTCATGAGAATGTCTGCCATCAATGTTGCAGCCCACAGACTGGGCTGTTCCAAGTATCTCTTTAATGATTCCAGAGAGATCTCTTGCCAAGGATGGGTGCCTCATCTGTCGAGCAATGTTGACAATCTCATTGAGACTTATGTTTCCATTGGGTTCAATATTTTTCTGCTTCTTTCTGTCCCGAGGAGGTTCCTTTAGGGCTTTGATGATCAAAGCTGAGGCAGAAGGCACAACCTCAATCCAGGCCTATCCGTTCTGAATGGTAAGTTTCACTGTGATCCTTAGTCCTCTCCAGTCACCAGTTGCCTTGGCAATGTCATCACCAACCTTTTTGGGAGACAAACCCATGGGACCAATTTTGGGGGCCAGGGCTGATGTGGCATCAGCTTCACCACCAATGTACCTTAAAAACACGACTTTCATTTCATTAGGGTCAAACTTGGGTGGCACAGAGGTATGAAGGTGGAGGCTTGGCCTGGATGCTGTGGGGTGGCTGCTGGTGTCGGATGAACCTGGATTCGGGATGACTGAAAGTACCCTCTTATTTTCAAAGAAGGACCTATGAGAGTGAGTTGATGGGCATAATTTTTCAAGACCAGTCTTTTTGTTGTTGCTGTTCAATCGTTTTAGTCATGCATGACTCTTTGTGACCCAATTTGGGGTTTTCTTGGCAAAGATACTGGAATGGTTTGCCATTTCCTTCTGCAGCTCATTTTACAGATGAGGAAACTGAGACAAACAGGGTTAAGTGACTTGCCCAGGGTCACACAGCTAGTAAGTATCTGAGACCAGATTTGAACTCAGGAAGATGAGTTTCCTGACTGCAAGTCAGGAGCACCACTTACCTGCCTCCCCCTTTTACGTATGTCCTAACAAATGGCTTTATTTAAAAAATTTTAAAGTTTGTTTTACTGATGTGTGTTATCTTTATGTCAGACATTCTCCCCCTCACCGTAATTAACCCCCTCTTTGGACAAAGAAAAACAATTAAGAGGCCTTGTGCATTCAGTGTTCTGTACGAGTAATTCCTTACCTCTCTCCCACAAGGGAGATCTATTTCATTATCATTTCTCTAGAACCTTTATTGGTTTATTAAACTTTTCATTTACACTGTTTTAATCATTGCCTCCACAGTTCTCTTGGTTCTGTTTATTGTGCTCTGTATCCATTAATATATATTTTCCCTCATTTCTCTGAATTCCTCATAGTCGTCATTTCTTATTGAACGACTCCATTATTGTCATATACCATAGTTTGTTTCTGCCGTTCTACAATTGCTGGGTAGGTACATTGTTTCCTTTTCTTTGCTATTACAAAGACTGCTACTATGAATAATTCTGGCTTTGACTCTCTTGGGGACATATGCCCAGTGGTGAGATTGCTGGGACAAAAGGGTATGGGAAATTTAGTCACTTTTCTTACAGAATTCCAAACGGAAATGCAGAACTTTTAGTCTGCTTTACAGATCTACCAAAAATGTATCAGTTTATCTACTCAGACCCTTCAACATGGACTATTCCTATTTTTCTTTCTGTTTTTTAAAACAATATTGATATATTTGGTCTTTATACAATCATTTCTTAATATATCTCCCCTTACCCTAATAAGGGCAGCTAGGTAGCACAGTGGATAGAATGGCAGACCTATAGTCAGGAAGACTCACCTTTCTGAATTAAAATCCAGCCTCAGACACTTAATAGCTGTGTGACCCTGGGCAAGTCACTTAACCCTATTTGCCTCAGTTTCCTCATCTGTCAAATGAGCTGGAGAAGGAAAGGACAAACCACTCCAATATCTTTGCCAAGAAAACCTCAAATTGGGCCACAAAGCATTGGACATGACTGAAAAATGACTGAACAACACTCTTGTAAAAAAAAAAAAAGAACTCAAGTTAAAGAATGGGAAAAAAATACTTCACCAAAACTGATCAACACATCAACTGAGTCTGATGGAAAAGATAATATTCCCCATCCAAAGTAACCCCTGTCCCCCACCACAAAGTGGGGGAGCAGGTGCATTTTCTCATTTCTCTTCTACAGTGAAAATTAATCATTCTAATTATACAGCAGTCAGGCTTTTTTGTTATTTTCATTTTCATTGCTACAGTTATTGTGAATATTATTTTCCAGGCTCTATTTTACTTTGCATCTATTCATATAGGTCTTCCCATGCTTCTCCACATTCTTCACATTTATCATTTCTTACGGTTCATGCAGCAATTCCATTACATGAATGCACCACAATTTGAGTTCAAATCTTGCCTCAGACACTTACCAGCTGTGTGAGCCCCGGGCAAATCACCTAATTTCTGCCTGCCTTAGTTTCCTCAAATGGGAATCATAATAGAACTTACCTCCCCAGGTTGTTGTGACTATCAAATGAGATAAAACTTAGCACAGTACCTGGAACAGAGAAGACATTTAATAAATACTTGTTCCCTTTCTTTCCAGGCCCACCCCCATTTTTGTTGTTATTCATTTGTGTCTGGTTCTTTGTGGCCTCATTTGGGGTTTTTTTTTTTGGCAGAGATACTACAGTGGTTTGCCATTTCCTTCTCCAGCTCATTTTATAGATGAGGAAACTGAAGCAAATAGGGTGAAGTGACTTGTCCAGGGTCACACAGCTAGGAAGTGTCTGAGGCCAGATTTGAATTCAGGAAGATGAGTGCTCTCGACTCTGGGCCCAACACTATGCACTGCATCAACTAGTTGCTCCTGTTTCTCCCATTGTCTATACTTTGTTTTCCTGTTCTTTGCTACCATGAACATGAGCAGTCCTGCTGGAAATTTTCTGGTGTAAATAGGATCTTTCTTTCTGTCTTTAACATCTTTGGTTTTGCATGATTGATCTCACTTTAGAGATACCCAGATGTGTGATCCTGGGCAAGCCCTTTCTTTCCTCATCTGAGTCTCAGTTTCCTCATCTGTAAAATGAGGAGGTTGGACTAGAAGTCCACTGAGGTTCCTTCTAGCTCTGAATCTATGATCTTCTGATCTTTCTTCTTCAGTCCGAGTGATTCAATGGTAGGAGTACTAGATTAGGATCTTGGTTCAAATCCTGACTCTGCTACTTACAACCTGTGATCCTTGAGAACTTCACCTTCCTGGGACTCATTTTCGTCTCCTGAAAAAATGAAGAAGTTGAATTAAATAGTCTCTAAGGTCCCTTCCAGTCTTAAACCTGATCCCTGAATGGACCTCCCATGCGGTAGCAGTCACAGAGAATAGAAGAGAGACCTCTGTGAAACTTTTCTTGTGAGTTTGGACTTTAAATTTACATCCAGGGATATACTGGTAAATGTTTAACCAAAAAAAAAAAAAAATAAAGGATGCAAACACACATTTTTAAGTTTAATCTGCACTACTAACACTTTGTATGATTGATCTCACTTTAGAGATATCCAGCTGTGTGATCCTGGGCAAGCCCTTTCTTTCCTCATCTGAGCCTCAGTTTCCTCATCTGTAAAATGAGGAGGTTGGACTAGAAGTCCACTGAGATACCTTTCAGTTCTGAATCTATGATCTTCTGGTCTTTCTTCTTCAGTCCTAGTGATTCAATGGTAGGAGTACTAGATTAGGATCTCGGTTCAAATCCTGACTCTGCTACTTACAACCTAGTAGTAGTCTAAACAATCAAGTCTGAGCAATCAAGAAAGCAATGAATCAAGCCCTGATTTGTAGAGATCATTGATTTCTGAGGTGCAAATGCTGACACTGAAAATTTAGCAGTGGCCTCTGGGGAGCTGGCCCTAGCTGGCTCCATTGCACCCCCACTAAGTCCCTCCCATTCAGCTCTCCTGAAGTGTTTGAGGGAAGGTGGGAGGGTGGGTGGGCATTACAGAGTCTGGTTCAGGCACCTGCAGGGGCTTACCAATTTGGGAAGTTGGCCTAGGATGCCTATTAACTCTTCTGTCTTGTTTTTATGAATGGCCTTAATAACACTGAAGCTTCTATGATGCCTTTCATCTGGGCATCTCAGATCATTTGAAAGTAAAATTCCTGGTTTAAAAAAATGGTAATTATAGTCTGTAGCCATCTTATTTGATTTCTAGGCTGATGTTGGTTGGAAGATGGACAGACAGGCTGCATCCCACCCCCCAGTAAACTCCTGTTAATGAGGTCAGTCAAAAGAGGAAGATGCTAAGTGGTGCCTGAATCAAAGGGGACCAGCTGATTGAAACCCGTGACCTTCTTATGGCAGTCTGGCCTACTTTTACATCTTTCAAAACCACAGGTTCCCCAAGCACATTAGTGAAAGAAATGATAGCTGAGGAGTGTGTTCGTCCATAAAATCTGGGTGGGGGGAGAAGGTGGGGAATAAAGGAACGAATAGGTCCCAGGCTGAAAGACATATGGGAGAGTGCTGGGAAGAGAGAAAAGGGCAGGGTACGGGTGATCTTGTAAGGAAGAAGGCCATGGCATCTCCCATGGTGAGAGATGGAACAGTGTCAGAGGGGGAGCCTGAAGACGAGGAAGGGAAGAACCTGGAGAGGTGAGTAAGGATGCTGTATGGGGTTCAATTCTCCGAGGATTTTTCTAAGCAAGCGAGGCAGGTTGGAGCTGGAGTCTGAAGTGGTAGAAGAATCACCGGCCTGCCAAAGGAGGTTGAGATGTAAGTAAATCCACTTAGTGTGTGTGCTTATGTCTGCATGTGAGAATGTGAGTTTATGTGTGTGCATGTGTACGTGCATACATGTGTGTGCATGTGCATGCGCGTGTATGTTTGTGTGCAAGCTACTAGCACTGGGAGAAGATTGTGGGGAATAGGAAGACCTACCACAAGATGCTAGAGTTTGCCTCCAAGGTCCCTTCTAGCCCCAGATCTATGATCCTAGGAAACAAAGATGTACCCATGAGCATGTTGACTTATTTTGGTAGTGCTCCTCTCTTTTTACTTGCTTTATCTGTTGGGCCCAGGTTCCATGTAAGCAATGGGAACCCATGGAGACCTGGAGTGTGGGGAAGGGTAAAGTCCACGAATTAGAGATAGGCCTGACTTTTCTTGCCCTAAGGAAGGCGAGCATCTGAGCTATTCACTTGAGGAAGCCAGAATGATGGCAGGCCATGGAGACTGGTGAGGAAGGGAGTGGGGATTATGGGGAGGGATGAGGAGTCAAAGCTTCCAGAAGCATTAGCATGCTATGAATTGGGTTTAGTGGGTGAGAAAAAGGCAAGAAGGTTTAGCTGTGGAGAAAAAAAAGGAATATGGAGCAGTGTGGCCTAATGGAAAGAGCCTTACCTGGAATGGGAATCAGAGAATCTGAGTTTGAATCCTAGCTCTGTTACTGTCCTTCATTTACTTCATATGACCTTGGACAAGTTACTTCACTTCTGTGGGCCTCAGTTTCTTCATTTGTAAAATGATGGGGTTGGACTGGTGGGGAGGGTGCTGGACTTGGCCTCAGGAAGACCTGCCTCGGTCACTTGTTAGCTGAGTGACCCTGGGCAAGTCACTTTTACTCTCTGAGTCTCAGTTTCCTTATCTGTGCAATGAGGACACTAATAGTAGCTGCCTCCGGGGTATTGTGAGAAACCAATGAAATAATGTATTTCAAACATTTGACAAATCCTAAGGCATAAATAAATGCAGTATTTTGGGCCACAATTTACAGAGTCTGAAACATAAATCCTCAGGACCATGGCATGGATAAAGCAAGGGAAGAGGAAAGAGTATCTGTGTTCTGTAAGAGAAAAGCAGCTGAATGGGGGGAAAAGTAAAGGGAGGACTTTTTAGAGTCCTAGAGGGATGATGTGAGACCCAAAGGAACTCATGATGTTGGTGGATAAGGAACTAGATCCATCCTTGAGCATGGACAAAGGTAGCCATGGAACAGGAAGGTGTATGTTGAACAGGACAATAGCCCACAAGAATCTAATTATTTTAGAATGAATTGAAGCCAAATGGTAGCATCCTGGACCATAGGATCATGTGTGTAGAGCTAGAGGTTCATAAGCCTTTTGTGTGTTGTTGTCCCCTTGACCCCAGATTAAAAACCCTGGCTTAGTCCAACCTTCCCATTTCACAGATGAGAACATGAAGCTCGAGAAACAGAAATAACTTACCCAAGATCACACGGGTTGTAGGCATCAGAGGTGAGATGTCAGTTTGGGTCCTCTAACCCAGAGCCAGTGTCCTTTCCACTATCCCTTGCTGCCTTTCCATACTGAGAAAATTATCTAAAATATTTGTTTCTGGGAAATGATTTGTTAAATGATCCTCGGAACATTGGTACCCATTAAGAGGTAATTGAGGGCATTCAGTACCATAGTTTGCTCAGGCTGGGATAGCCAACACCTCTGTACTTTAGCTTTGGGCTCTGTTATTTTCTGTTATGCACACACACACACATACACACACACATACATACACACACACACAATATCCTCAAGGGTTCTTGAAACATAGAAATGGATATCAAGAGACTAGAGAATTCATTTTTTCTCTAGGCTTATGGTGACAAGTTAAAGAAGGACCCCTGGTCCCCGCTTGGCATAAACCATCCAAACCTTGAACACAATGAAAAGGTGGTCCAAAGTTTTGTGCTCCCTAGGAACCCTTACCTTCAGATGGAGGTCCTCAGACCAGGAGGAGAGGGAGTGAAAAGTTAAAAGGATGGGAGGGAGGGCAGGGAGGAGGGAATTGGTGATTTGTTACCATGCCCTGTGCTCTGAGAGAGACAGAGAGACAGACACACAAACAGTTAACAGGGATAGAGAGTTAGAGTGAGAATGACAATGAATGAGAATATTATGAGGAAAAAGAAAGGCAACTCTTTTCTAGTGGGGCTTTTAAAATGATACACGGTAGCCTGAAGAGTTACACCTAGGTAACTATGGACACATACATTAAAGTGGAGGAATAGTGCAAAGGCTTATGGGTAAGCTAGTCTCAGCTTAGGGCAGCTAGGCGGTACAGTAGATAGAGTGCCCTGACTGGAGTCAGGAAGACTCATCTTCGTGAGTTCAAATCTGGCCTCAGACACTTACTAGCTATATGACCCTAGGCAAGTCACTTAACCCTGTTTGCCTCAATTTCCTCATATGTAAAATGGACTGGAGAAGGAAATGGCAAACCACTCCAATATCTTTGTTAAGAAAACTCCAAATGGGGTCATGAAGAATTGGGCACAGCTGAAATGATTCAACAATAGTTTCAGGTTCCTGGTTTACAGAAATCTCCAAGGAGGTGTGAGGTGGGGGTGGGGGTTGGGGGGAGCTGGGGGTGGGGAGGTTTGCTCAGACTGATACAAAGAATCTTAGCAAAAGACGTTGCAATCAGGGAAGGATACCATTTGATAATATGCTAGCCAACACTTTCTATGAAAGATTTATCCTTTACAGTGGGCCTAGATAAATCTCAGGTTTAAGTTAGGGATGAGAATACTGATTTTTTAAACCAGTCATTTTTAGTTAAAATCTTGCTGGGGCTGAACTGTTGGAGAAATTTTGAGAGGCAGTATGGTGTAGTGGATAGGACTTTGCCCTTAGAATCAGAAAGCCCTGGATTCAAATCCCACCTCACATGACTAGTGGTGTGACCCTGGGTATGTCATATAACCTCTCCATGCCTCAAGTTTCCTCATCAGTAAAATGAGGGGATTGGGATAGATGACTTCCAAGATCTCTTCTACCTCTAAATAGTGGTCTGCCTGTAAACCTGATTCTAGCTTTAGACCTGGATTGGAAGGGTTAACTCTGGCCTCTCCTGTTCCCATGAGCAGGAAGCTGTCATAAAGGAGAACCACTGGACCCTTTATTGGTCCTTCCTGGGTGGGGAGCTGAGTAGCTCTAGTGAGATACCCACAGGACAGGGTTAGGTGTGGACATTACAGTCCTTGAGTAATGCCTGAGAGAAGCTTATAAAACTCTTTAAAAGGGTTGGGAAATTACAACTTGAAAGGCATAGATGGGCCATAAAAGCTTCACTTGCAAACCACATTTAGTTTGTGAGCATTTGCAAATGGTTTTTTAAAAGCAGCTCTAAATCTCATGTTGATGTCTGAAGCCAGGTTCAATCTTTCTGCCTCCTCGCAGGCCTTCATTTCCCCCTCCACCTCTGCCTGGCAGCTTTTCTTTTGGCCAAGTAGGGGAATTTGTCCCCTTACACTGTCCTTGGAATCTGGCTGTGAAGATAGTACCAGCTCTGGGACCAATAGGTAATGAGGTCAGGCTGTCCTAGTTTAGAATCCCTGGATCCAGAATGCCGAATGTCCCTGGGAGAGCAGTGCATGCTTTCATCACAGATGTTCATGTCCATCTAGTCCAGATTGAACCTAAGCAGAAATTTCTTCTGCAGTGGAAAATGTCCACCACCCTTTGCTCTAAGACCCCCAAGGAGGAGAATCCATCATCTCCCAGGGTAGCCCATTTTACTTTTGGAAAACTCTAATGGTGGGGTTGTGGGGCATATAGGTAGCACACTGGATAGAGTACCAGGCCTGGAATCGGGAAGACCTGAGTTCAAATCCAGCCTCAGAGACTTATTAGCTGTGTGACTCTGGGCAAGTCACTTCATCCTGTTTGCCTCAGTTTCCTCATCTGTAAAATGAGTGGAGAAGGAAATGGAAAACCAGTGTCTTTGCCAGGAAAACCTCAAATTGGGGTCATGTAGAGTCAGACATGACTGAAATGATTCAACAACAACAATGTTGAGGAAGCTATTGCTAATCTAAGTATAAATTTGCCTCTTGGTGATTTCCAACCATTTCTCCTTGTTGTGCCTTCCATGGCCCAGCAAAATAAATCAAATCCTTGTAGCTGCTGGCCTTTCAGATACTTGAAGTCCCCATTAAGTTTTCTTTTATCCAAGCTAAGCATCCTCAGGTCTCCAGCAGATCCTCAAATAACATGCTCTGAGTGATCTTCACCACCCTGCTTGTCATCCTTTGTATATGTTCTAGCTTATCCATATCCTTCCTAAAATGTGGCATCTAGAAATGAGCATGATACTGCTAGATGTGTTCTGACCAGATGTGGTCAGGAAAGGAGACTCTCTTCTGAAGGAGGCTATATCAGTCCTTCAGTAGTCAGTCAATTAACATTTATTAGGTGCCTACTAAGTACCAGGCCCTGTGCTAAGGGCTGGGGATATTGTTACTGTTAAGTTGTTTCCATCATATCTGACTCTTTGTGATCTCATTTGGGTTTTTCTTGGCAAAGATACCAGAGTGATTTGCCATTTCCTTTTCCAGCTCATTTTACAGATAAGGAAACTGAGGCGAACAGGGTTAAGTGACTTGCCCAGGCTCACACAGCTGATAAGTGTCTGAGGCCACATTTGAACTCAAGAAGATGGGTCTTCCTGACTCCAGGCCTAGCACTCTATCCACTGCACCACCTAGCTGCCCAAGGGTGGGAATACAAATAAAAAAAAAGAAAGAGTTTTCCTGTCCTCCAGGTGCTTACAATATAAGAGGGGAAGACAATACACAAAAGAGGCTTAAAAGTAGGGGGAGAAGGTGCCAGGCAGATGGGGGAGGGGGACATGGTGGAGACTGGTGGGAAATATAGAATTATCTGCCAGTAAGAGTAATGGCCACAGCTGTGACTGGGCAAAGAGAAGTGCTCAGGAACCCAGAAAACCCTGCTGTTTTTATGATTCATGGATATTGATGTTTGATATTGATGGACTGATTGGTTAATCCACAAAACTCCTTTCCTTCCTTCCCCAAAATTAAGTCCATGATCCTTATCCCTTCAAAGCTATGACTGACTATCTGCCCATGGATAGACTTTTCAATGGTCGCAACAGGAAATTATAAAACAATTGGATCATGGGTAATAATAATAAAAACTCATTTATACAATAATTTTGTGAGGTAAGTAGTGCAGATGTTAACCATTTCCTCTTTATAGATGAGAAGACAGAAGTATAGAGATTTGCTCAGAGTCACACAGATAATAGGACAGTTAGGTGGCACAGTGGACAGAGCACAAGGCCTGGAGTTAAGAAGACTCATCTTCCTGAGTTCAAATGTGCACTCAGACACTTATCATCTGTATGACCCTGGGCAAGTCACTTAATCCTGTTTGCCTCAGTTTCCTCATCTGTAAAATGACCTGGAGAAGGAAATGGCAAACCACTCCAGCATCTTTGCTAAGAAAACCCCAAATGGGCTCACAAAGAATCAGACACAGTTGAACAACATTAACAACATCACACAGATAATGTATAGAGTCAGGGTTTGAGCATCTGCCTCTAAGTCCAGTACTCTTCCTACTGTACAACATTGCCTCTAAAAGTAATAGTAGTTGCCATTGATATAGCACTTTAAGGTGGACAAAACACTTCATGTAAATTATTTCATTTGATGATCTTGTGAGCTAGGTAGTACAAGTGTTTAATCAATTAATCAATCAGCATTTCTTAAACACCTACTATGGACCAGGTACTTTGCTAGGTCCTGGGGACATATAAACCAAAAAAAATGAAACAACCTCCTCTCTCTCTCTCTCTGTCTCTCTCTCTGTCTCTCTCCCTCTCTCCCTCTCTCCCTCTCTCCTTCTCTCTGTCTCTGTCTCTCTCTGTCTCTCTCTGTCTGTCTGTCTGTCTCTCTCTCGGCAGTTGGGGTTAAGTGACTTGCCTAAGGTCACACAGCTAGTAAGTGTCAAATATCTGAGGCTGAATTTGAACTCAGGTACTCCTCCCTGACTCCAGGGCTGGTGCTCTATTCACTGCGTTGCCCCACAACCCCCATTTTCAAAGGACCTTACTTCCCATGGAGGAGGCAATATGTACACATATATCCACATATAGAATAAGTACAAGTAAAAATAGATGCAAATGCAGAATAAATACAAAGAAGGCAGTTTGGGAGGGAGAGAACTAGAAGCTGAGACACCCAGGAAGACATCGTGTAGATGGTCGTGTATCTTGGAACAAGTAAGGAATTCTTTGTGGTGGAGGTAAGGAAAGGGTGCATGTCAGGCATAGGAATTATCAGGGCAAATGCATGGAGACTGAAGATGAAATGCATGGGTGACAGCAAAGAGAAGCCCAATTTGATTATACTCTGGAGTGTGGGAAAGAGAGTTGTGCATAATGACACTGGAAGGATAGATTGGAACCAAGCTGTGAAAGGCTTTTTAAAGGAGTTCTATCTACTCTATCATGATGCCTCTCATAATAGTAATCATAATAATAATAATACCAGCATAATATAGCACAATGAGGTTTGAAAAGTGCTTTTTACATATTTCAACTCATTTGAGCCTTGCAACGACTTTGTGAGATAGGCACATGCATTATTATGCCCATTTTACATATGAGGAAACTAGGACTGAAACAGCTAGTAAGTGACAGAGCTGGGGGTTTATGAATGATCCTTCTGACTCTAAATTCATCTCTCTACCTGTCATACCTCACTATCTCTCTTATGCCAGTTTGGTGAAGGTGGGATTGTAGGGGGAAGAGGAAGACCAAGTGACAATGATGGAGTCCATTGAGGCATCCTAAGAGATGGCAGGAGCCAAGTGTGTTAGCCCATAAAGGCACTCCCTATTAATGGATCTGATGTAATGACTCTTTGAAGCTGCAATAAAAATCATATTCCACTAAGGAATGACAGCCACATAGAGTCCTGACTTAGCAAACCAAATTCAACACTTTTTACGAGACTAGGAATCCCGGATAGTTATCAGAATTACATACTAATGAGATTAACCTTCCAAAATGGGACTAGAGTTTCCCAAGAGAAGACAATTTGCCAACATGCCAACACCCAACAGAAAGTGTATATAAGTACTCTCTGGAGGAAGGATAATTCAGAAGTTGGGCTAACTAAACTGCAGTTTTTTCCTCCTAACATCATGACTTCCCAAATCTGCGCTCCAGCATTCTCCACTGGATCTTTCAGGGGAGTCTGTGGCACCAGTGGTGGCTTCTCTCGGATCTCCTCTGTCCGCTCTGTGGGCTCTTGTAGGGTTCCGAGTATTTCCTGTGGTGGTGGGTCAGTCTCCTCTCTTAAGCTGGGCTCCTGTGGCCTGGGGAGCTATCTGCCCAACACCTACCTGTCCAATGGATACTACACCTCTGGCTTTGGTGGGAATAGCTTTTGGGCTGGTGATGGGGTTTTCAATGGCAATGAGAAGGAGACTATGCAATTCTTGAATGACCGCCTGGCCAACTACCTGGAGAAGGTGCGCCAATTGGAGAGGGAAAACTCAGATCTGGAGAAGAAGATCCGGGAGTGGTATGAGTCTCAGATCCCATATATCTGCCCGGATTATCAGTCCTACTTCAAGACCATTGAGGATCTCCAGCAGAAGGTAATAGACGAAAGCAACTCTGATCGCTAAATGGCCATGTGCCTACGATAGAGCCCTCTTTTCTGTATGGGGCATGCTGGGAGCTGACTTCTATCCTTCCAGATAGAGTTAGAAGAAAACCAGAGCTTAGCAGAGGTGTCTGGGACATGGTGGGTGGTTAATAAGTTTTTGTTGACCTGGCTCTTGGGGCTCTATCTCCCGGATAATCTCATTGGCTTTTTTCATTTTTCATTTCATTTCATTCTATTTGTATCTCCAGTGCCTAGCACTGTGTCTTGTTCCTAATAAGCACTTATTAAATTCTTGATTGATTGATTGAGTCCTGCCATTGAGTAGCATCCAATGCTACACTGAGTGTAGGCTAAGTGATATCTGACTTGGGGTTGACCTTGAGGATTACTGAAGAATGTCCAAAACTGATGTGATCATCTCTTGGGTGTCTGTCTATCTTTTCTCAGAATCTCAGGGGAGGGCTCAGGGCTGGATCAACTAAAGACCCAGGGAGAAGTACACTATGGTCTGAAAGATGGCTTATCTCTGGTGGCCTCTTCTCTCTCAGCAGTGCTTGGATTGGAACTTGGTCCTTTGCCCTGACTTCTGTGGTGCCTCTTGCTTTCTAGATCCTGTTGACCAAGGCTGAAAATTCCAGGCTGGTTCTGCAGATTGATAATGCCAAACTGGCTGCTGATGATTTCAGAACTAAGTGAGTGGGACTCAATGGGAAATGCTCTTACTTTGCCCTTCATACCCAGCCTTGGGCAGCTGGTAGATTGAAAAAAAGAGTTCCTCTGGCTATCACGACCCTTCCTACCCCTCTCACCCTCTCTAAGTAGTTACAGATTTACAAAGTAGGAAACACTAAGACCCTTTGGGAAAGGGATGGAGAAAAGGAAGTACTATCTCCCTTTTAGAGTCTAGAGAGAAGAGCTACATGAAAAATATGGCGGTGTTTTTATGTTCAAATCAGACTTTAGCCAAAGGACAATGGGAAGGGATTTCTGGTATAATATATGGCTCCTTATGTTGGCTAGAGACAGCTATAGTGTTGTAGATAGATAGCCTGCCTGGGAACCAGCAAGATCTGGGTTGAAGCTTTGCCCCTCACATATACTGGCTATGTGATTCTGGGCAAATCCCATTCACCTCTTGGCTGTCTAGGTAGCCTTTAAGACCCTAAGTGCAGAGGTGCTGCTGACCTCCATTGGCAGAGGAAGTTTACTCATCTGGGAGCTCTATCAATGAAGACACAGACCTAGTCTCTTTTCCTATGAAATCTAGCTATTTCCTGGGCCTGGCATGCAATAGTCACTTAATAAATGCACTTTGAATTGTAGGTATGAGACTGAGCTGTCCCTGCGCCAGCTGGTAGAGGCTGACATCAACGGCCTTCGCAGGATCCTAGATGAGCTGACCCTGTTCAAGGCTGACCTGGAGATGCAGCTTGAGTCCCTGAAGGAGGAGCTGCTCTGTCTTAAGAAGAACCATGAGGAGGTTAGGAAAGGGCTGATGTCAGAATGAAGGAGTCAGGGGCTTCAACTACCCCAGGGGTTCTTAACCTGAGGTCTATAGAGAGGGGAACTTGGGATGGGAAGAAAAAAATTAGGCCTTTAGTTTCACTAACCTCTAACAACAAACGTGACTCTGAGAAGGGTTCCATAGGCTCTACCAGACTTCCAAAGGGGTCCAGGACACAACAAAGGTTCAGAACCACTGGACTCTATGACCTCCGAAGGCCCCTTTGGGCTCCAGCATCTTGTGGTTCTGGATAGGGAGAGGGATTTGTGGTTTCATTGACATACGGCCCTCCTAGTGAGGAGCATCCTCATCCAAAGCAGGTGGGTACCTCCTCTGTAATTCATAGTCAAAGAGACCTGCATAGTGCACTGAGAGGTTAATTACTTGACTATTAAATTGTGAGCTCCTCAAGGGCAGGGACTACCTTTTGCCTCTCTTTGTAGCCCCAGAGCTTAGCACAGTGCCTGGCACATAGTAGATACTTATTAAATGCTTAGTGACTGACTGATCAGGGTAACAGAGAATGTGTGTCAGAATTGGGATTATAATAATAATAATAGCTAACATTTATTCAGCACTGACAATGTGCTAAGTGATTTACAATTATTGTCTTACTTGATTGTCACAATAACCCTGTGAAGAACATGCTATTATTATCCCCATTTTGTAGACTGAGAAGCTGAGACAAATGGGTTAAGTGACTTGCCCAAAGTCACTAGCTAATAAGTATCTGAGGCCAGATTTAAACTCAGGTCTTCCTGACTCTAGACCCAGTGCCCTATCTACTACACCACCTGGATACTCCTAAAGACCTAAGTCTTCCAGATTTTCATGGTTCTAAGTTTCTTTCTGAGGGCCCCTATGGGAAGTCACCATATTCCTGTTTGGACTATGGAGTGGAGATGACCAGGCTTAGGAATTGGAACTAATTGGTACTCTGCTCATTATAGGAAGTCAGCATTCTTCGAAGTCAGCTTGGAGACCGGCTCAATGTTGAGGTGGACGCCGCCCCACCTGTGGACCTCAACAAGATCTTGAATGATGTGAGATGCCAATATGAGGCCCTGGTGGAAAATAATCGCAGAGATGTGGAGAACTGGTTCACCACCCAGGTGGGTACCTGGGGGAGGCAAGCAGAGAGATTTTTAGAGGGCTCTTGTCCCTCCTGACCATGCCCTGATGCCTTGTGTCTGTTTTAGACAGAGGAATTGAACCAACAAGTGGTGTCCAGTTCTGAACAGCTCCAGTGCTGCCAGACAGAGATCATTGAGCTGAAACGCAATGTCAACGCCCTGGAGATTGAGCTGCAGACCCAGCACAGCATGGTGAGCAGTCCGGACTAGAATTCCTAGGAAACAACTGGTAGCCTTCTCAGTGACCACTGAGTCTGTCCCCAGGGAGCTTCCCAATGGAATTGCCATAAAGAGGCCCAGCAATCTAGAATGGAACTAATGAGACTTCCTTATCTTCTCTTTGCAGCGAAATTCCCTGGAATCCACTCTGGCAGAAACAGAGGCCCGTTATGGTTCCCAGCTGGCCCAGCTACAGTGCATGATCGGCAATGTGGAGGCTCAGCTGGCAGAGATCCGCTGTGACCTAGAGCGGCAGAACCAGGAGTATCAGGTCCTCCTGGATGTCAAGGCCCGGCTGGAGTCAGAGATTGCCACATACCGCCGTCTACTGGAAGGAGAAGACTGCAAGTAAGTGTGTGTTCCAGGGTACTGGCAAGGCCAAACTCATGGGTAGGGGCAGTAGCTAGAAATTCTGATACTCAGAGCAGGCTGGTGAACCCTTAATACAGCCCACTCCTTGCCCATGATTGCTGAAAGGAGGATGAGGAAGTGGGAAGTAGCAGCAGGCATGCATGGTACTCTGAGAGGATCTTAGGCCTAGGGAAAGAACACAAAACAAGAAGTATGCCCATGGATGTTAGTACCCTGGGAAAAGCTCCAGTTGTCCTATCCTAGTTGTAGTACCGAGCCTAGTGAAACCCAATCCCCAATAAATGAGACAACTGAGTGAGTTCAGTTAATGAGATACTTTCTGAGCAAGCTATAAAGGAATGAATTCAAAGGTCTCTTGAGGGTTCTTCAAGAAATCTGGGGTTTTATACTTTACAAAGAAAAAAATTGTTATTCAACATATACAGTACTATAAATCTTTCAATAATCCTATCTACCAGCCCCAACTTTCCTCTTGCATGAGAAGAAAGCAGCAATAACCTGCAAACTTATTCTGGCCATTTTCTCCTTTACTAATCTCTCAGTTGTTGTCCCTTTCATTTTACCTGAATCTTGACCAAGTTCCTAGATGTGAAATTCACCTTCCAATGGCTCTGTTTCCTCAGGCTTCCTGCCCACCCCTGTGCCACAGAGTACAAGCCCTTGCTCCGTGTGCCCTGTCCCCCAAGCATCCCCTGTAACACGGGCTCCCAGGTCAGCACCCAGATCCGCACGATCACCGAGGAGATCAAAGATGGCAAAGTCATTTCTTCCAGAGAGCATGTCCAGCAGCGGCCCTTGTAAGCATCCCTGCTGTCTCAGCCTGGCACAGAGCAGGGAGGAAACCTCAAATTCATCATGCTGCTGAAACTCTGTCCAATGAAACCATTATCCAAGGGGGTCTGTCCCAAGTCCAGCAACTTATTTTTTTTTTTTCCTCATAAGATGTCTCTTCTATCATGTTTCCAGCTTTGGCATCTTTTCAACTGTAAGCAAGCTCCTTTGATAACTTCTCCAATAAATCTTGTTCTTTTGGCACAACAAACCTGATTCTCTGTGATTTCTATTCATTCCCCCACACTTCCCTGGGGCTGTGAAATAAGGAAGCACTAATCTATTTGAAAAGGTGGGGTGGGAGCTTCATTAGGAATTTCCTGCCTCTCCAGCTTAAGTTAATTCAATAAACATTCATTAAGTGTTTACTATGTTCTGGCACTGTGGGGATAGATGCAGAGACCTAAATGAAAACAAAGCCTTTCCACAATGACCTTTCACTCTAGTAACTTAGGGTTGTTGAATGTCAGATTGAAAAGGATCTAAGTTAGTCAGTCAATAAATATTTTAAAGCACCTACCATATTTCCTGCACTGTGCTAAGTGCTGGGAATGCAAAGAGAAGCAAAAGACAGTCTCTGCCCTGAAAGAGTTTTTAATCTAATGGGGGAGACAATATGTAAACAAACATATACAAACAAGCTATATATAGGATAAATAAGAAATAATTGAGAGATGGAAGGCACTAGAATTAAGAGGTCTTGGGAAAAGCTTCCTCTAGAAGATGGAATTTTTGATTTTTGTTGAGACTGAAAGAAAACCAGGGAAGCCAGTAGGAAATGAAGAAGGACAGAGTTCCAGACATGGGGGACAGCCAGAGAAAATGCCCAGAGCTGAGAGATGAAGAGTGTATTCATGGAACAGCCAGGCCAATGTCACTGGATCAAAGAGTATGGGGCAGGGAGGAAGGTAAAAGAAGATTGGAAAGGTAGAAGGGGACTAGGTTGTGAAAAATATTTTGTATTTGCTCTTGGAGGTGATAGAGAGCCACTGCAGTTTATTAAATGGTGGTGGTGGGGTGGAATGTGTGTGTGTCTGTGGGGTGTGTGACATGGTCAGACTCATATTTTAGGAAAATCACTTTACTCGCTGAATGGGGGATGAATTGGAGTAGGGAGAGACTTGAGGCACTATTGATTAGAGAACTGCAAATCAAAATGTCTCTGAGGTACCACATCACACCTATCAGATTGGCCAACATGACAAAACAGGAAAATGATAAATGTTGGAGAAGATGTGGGAAAATTGGAACACTAATGCATTGTTGGTGGAGTTGTGACTGATGTGAACTGATCCAACCATTCTGGAGAGCAATTTGGAACTATAGTCCAAAGGCCTATAAAACTGTACAGCAGTACAGCAATACCACTTCTAGGTTCATATTCCAATGAGGTCATAAAAATGGAAAAAGGACCCACATGTACAAAAATATTTATAGTAGCTCTTTTTGTGGTGGCCAAGAATTGGAAATCGAGGGGATGTCTATCAGTTGGGGAAGGTTGAAGAAGTTGTGGTATATGAATGTAATGGAATACTATTGTTCCATAAGAAATGATGAGCAGACAGACTTCAGAAAAACCTGGAAAGATTTACATGAACTGATGCTAAGTGAAGTGAGCAGAACCAGAAGAATTTTTTTGTCCATTTATTTATTTATTTTTAGTTTTCAACATTCACTTCCACAAGATTTTGAGTTCCAAATTTTCTCCCCATCTCGTCCCTCCCCCACCCCAAGACAGTGTGCATTCTGAATACCCTTTCCCCTAATCTGCCCTCCCTTCTATCTCCCCCCCTTCTCTTACCCCCTTCCTCTTCTATTTTCCTGTAGGGCAGGATAGATTTCGATACTCCATTGCCTGTATATATTATTTTCCAGTTGCATGTGAAAACAATTTTTTAACATTTGTTTTTAAAACTTTGGGTTCCAATTTTTCTTCCTTTTCCTTCCCCACTCACCCTCATTGAGAAGGCAGGCAACTTGATACAGGTTATACATGTGTAGTCATGCAAAACACTTCCATAGTAGTCATGTTATGGAAAACTAAGTACATTTCCCTTCATCCTATTTCACCCCCTATTTATTCTATTCTCTCTTTTGACCCTGTCCCTCCTTAGAAGTGTTTGTTTCTGATTACCCCTCCCCCAATCTGCTTTCCCCTCTATCATCCCCCTGCTTTCTTGTCCCCTTCCCCCCTATTTTCCTGTAGGGTAAGATAGCTTTCCATACCCAATTAAGTGTGTATGTTATTCCCTCCTTAAGCCAAATCTGATGAGAATAAGATTCACTCATTCCCTCTCACCTTCCCCCTCTTCTCCTCCACTGTAAAAGCCTTTTCTTGTCTATTTCATGTGAGATAATTTACCCCATTCTACCTCTTCCTTTCTCCTTCTCCCAGTATAATCCTCTCTCACACTTAATTTTATTCTCCAGATATCACCGCTTCCTCTTCAACTCACCCTGTGCCCTCTATCTATCAATCTATCTATACATACAATTCTTTCCCCACCAACTGCCCTAATACTGACAAAGGTCTCATGAGTTACAAATATCATCTTCCCATGTAGGAATGTAAATAGTTCAACCTTAATAAGTCCCTTATGGCTGTAATCCTATCTCCTTTGCCCTCTGGAATATTATATTCCAAGCCCTGCATTCCCTTAATGTAGAAGTCACTAAATCTTGTGTTATCCTGATTGTGTTTCCACAATACTTGAATTGTTTCTTTCTGGCTGCTTGCAATATTTTCTCCTTGACCTGGGAACTCTGGAATTTGGTTACAATATTCCTAGGAGTTTTCCTTTGGGGATCTCTTTCAGGAGATGATCAGTGGATTCTTTCAATTTCTATTTTACCCTCTGGTTCTAGAATATTAGGGCAGTTTTCCTTGATAATTTCTTTTTTTTAAAAAATATTATTAATTTATTTATTTTTAGTTCTCAACATTCACTTCCACAAGATTTTGAGCTCCAAATTTTCTCCCCATCTTGTCCCTCCTCCCACCCCAAGATGGCATGCATTCTGAATACCCCTTCCCCTAATCTGCCCTCCCGTCTTTCTCCCCTGCCTTCTCTTCTCCCCTTCCCCTTCAATTTTCCTATAGGGCAGGATAGATTTCTATATCCCATTGCCTGTATATCTTATTTTCCAGTTGCATGTGAAAACAATTTTTTAACATTTGTTTTTAAAACTTTGGGTTCCAATTTTTCTCCCTTCTTCCCTTCCCACCCACCCTCATTGAGAAGGCAAGCAACTTGATACAGGTTATACATGTGTAGTCATGCAAAACACTTCCATAGTAGTCATGTTGTGAAAAACTAAGTATATTTCCTTTAATCCTATCCTGCCCCCCTATTTATTCTATTCTCTCTTTTGACCCTGTCCCTCCTTAGAAGTGTTTGTTTCTGATTACCCCTCCCCCAATCTGCTTTCCCCTCTATCATCCCCCTGCTTTCTTGTCCCCTTCCCCCCTATTTTCCTGTAGGGTAAGATAGCTTTCCATACCAGTTGAGTGTGTATGTTATTCCCTCCTTAAGCCAAATCTGATGACAATAAGATTCACTCATTCCCTCTCACCTTCCCCTGTTTCACCTCTATTGTAAAAGCCTTTTCTTGTCTGTTTTATGTGAGATAATTAACTCCATTCTACCTCTCCCCTTCTCCTTCTCCCAGTATAATCCTCTCTCACTCCTTAATTTTATTCTCCAGATATTACCCCTTCCTCTTCAACTCACCCTGTGCCATCTATCTATCTATCTATCTATCTATCTATCTATCTATCTATCTATC